AATCAACAATTGAGTGATGTAATTGATGAATTCAGTGTATGGAGATGTACACTAAATATGATCTTTATAAACAATCAATATTGAATTGTGACTATCAAGTGTTTATTAATATTAACTAATTTTATAAAACTTATAAAGACTTCGGACTTCAAAATTGGTGAACTTAAAATTTTTATGATAATGCATTTCAATTTTTTTCATGCTGTGCAAATTCAACAATGTTAATATCTAAATAATACAATATGTAAATAATAGTTACCTTTAGAATATATATGTTACAGTGAAAGACCGAAATTGGAGAATGTCGACTTTCATCGGAGAATGTCAACATTCACCAAATACGTTGGTGAAAGAACGAATATTGCATTACATTCTTGTACATTCGGACCCTCACCGATGTATGTCAACAATCACGGATATGCTCTGGTGTAGGTTGAAAAGATTGACTCAAATTGGTGATACTGTACGAATACAAGTCCCTGATGTCAACCGTGGTCGTACAGATAAACCGAAATGTGTTAGTGGTTGTTGTTGGAATAGAAGACTCTGACTTTTCCAAACATGCAGATGAAAATGGTACCCGCAAGCAGCTTTACACACGTAATCAATTCATAATTTGTAAAGGAAAGTTACTTTCCATAGATGAGATTTATTTTCAAGACATGTCGCTGAGAGAAGCAGCTGCAGCTAATTCGAGAAACGGTGGGCAAGGCAATACACATTGTCATTGCAAAAGGAAGTGTTCCACAAATAAATGCAGTTGTAAAAGCAAGGGCCTCTTGTGCAATTCAAAGTGCCATAAAAGTTTAAGTTGTTGCAATAAATAAGATTTGAATCACATAATTCAGTAAGTTTTTTATTACTATTATTTTATTTTCTCATTTAGAACGTACTGTATAATTAAGTAAGTTTTAAACTTCTATTACTTTCCTTTCTCATTTTGAATGTACTGTGTGTTTTAAGTTCTTAATTTAAGTCTCAAGTGCATTTTTTCACTGAATTACGAAGAAGAAAATATAATATTCTTATATGTTCAACATTCACCATTAGTACATGGTGAATGTCGACATTTACCGGTGTAAGTCAGAAATAAGAGTATTTGGAAAATATTTTGGACATACACCAAGCGACTATGTGAATGTTGACATTCACCGGTGAAAGTTGACATTCTCCAGATTTCGGTGGTTCACCGTAACATATATACTATTAAATATAATGCTAACTTCCATATATTAATGTATATTTTTTAAAAATTTCGTATTAAACATCACACCCTTGTGAAAAGTCAGGGTAGTTATATAGCAAATGACACTTTGGCAATGATAATGTAACAAAAAAAAAAAAAAAAAATCATTGACATTCAGCTTTTACAAATTCAAAGGTATTCAAGATTGCAGATGTAAAAGCACAGTCCATTTAAGCCATTTAGAGACCCTAAGCATTTAAAATATTTTAGTGTCTCCACATCTATTTACAGTAAAATACCTCTTATCTGAATATTTTAATTTCAAGGTCAATCCCCCAGTCAAAATAATTATATAAGGTGTGATATTATTTAGACAGTTAAAAATTCATGAATGCGAATGATAATGAAACTGGACAACGTAATAATCAATATCAGAAGTGCAGTTGCACAGTAAAACCAGCACTGAGAAATATCTGTGGGGTCTCTCTTTCTTTGATGGCCTAAGCATATGTTTATTTTGTTTAATGGTGAATCCAATCCTGCATGAAAGAATAGTGAATAAATTTTTTTCTTGTCAAACTGAAGCATATGTATTCTGTCAAACTGAAACCTGTTTAACCCTCTGAGCATTACGGGTTTAACCTTGAAATTTCAAAGTTCCTCAAAATGTCACGAATAAGTGATATTTTCTTAATTAAAAAAAATGACTCTTTCATTTTGTACCTTCATTCCTTTTCTTCCAGTATACATCCAAACTGAAATCAGATATATTAAAAGCTAGCAGAAATTTTCATGTATAATGAATGTGGAAGGCAACCTTCTGTACGGAATTTTCCGGCCTTATCGCTGAGAGGGTTAAGAAGGAACATTTTTTTGCATTCAAAGAAATTCAAAATTTCCTGTGAAAAGAAAAGAGGAATTTTAGAAAAGTAAATATTTTAGAAAGAAGACAATTCATATGCATTATATGTAAGGAAATATTTACAGGTCTCTAGCAATCAAATGATGCAAAGATGAATTGATGAAGAATGATTTTAACTAAGCATTTTACTTTTAGGGATTTGAATATTCCAAAAAATAAAAGACATTTTGATTAAATAATTTGGATTGTTACAAGTTCTGTAGTTTTGGATGAATTTTTTATATTTATCTTTTTGCAATTTAAAATATGATGTGTATTTTTATTATTCTAAAATATAACAATTTTTTTTTAAAACATGGGGAAAATATATCCAGTGCAGATCAATTAGAAACCTAAAGAATGGAGATTTAAAACAAAACCTTCAATGTTTCTGTATTTTAATTTTGTGCTGTACAATAAGAATATCAAAAACAATTTTTTTAAAAAAATTTTCTGATTAAGCTGATGTTTCAGTTCCAATGTATTCAAAAGCTTTTATGTGAAATCTGAAAATTCAAATATGTTTAATGCTGTAAATGTCATATTTTCATCTTCAAGAACTCTTGAATAAATGAGTAAAATTTTTAAGGTACTACTATTCTGTTATCAGGATCAGATTCAGAAATGTGTGCATGAATGGATGTATGTGTTCATGTATGCATGTATATATGTAAGCATGAATGTATGTGTGTGTATACATGTATGCACATATATGTTTACACACGCATTCATTTATTCATTTCTGGATTCGGTCCTGCTAGCAGAACAGTATTATTTTTACTGTTGCCTATTAATGAATCTTAATCCATTACAAGCTCTTTTCCAAGTCATTTTATCTATTCTAAGTAGTTGCTGTATATTCTAAGTGATTGATAGAATAACTGAATTATTTTCTGAGACATATCATTAACAGCTGTAGTTAATATGGTAAAAGTAACAAAATAATGTTATCTGTTAGCAGAAGTAGATTTATAGGGTCATGCATATCACAACTGCAAAGAACTTTTCTTTTCAAAGAGCCCTAAATCAATTTATACATTTGGTTGGTTTTCGTGTCCTTTGAAAAGTCAAATGGATCCATGCATGGAAATCACAGCTTTTGCCAGTTCCTCAATCTTTTCACTATAAAGCTGGAAAGGGAATTTCTCCAAGCTTTGCAGAGCTGCAAGTATTTCTGGGCATGTGAAGATGTGTTTTGAACAAAGATCTGTTTTGGGGCAGTTTCTACGAGTTCTATATGAACTGGTACCATTTTCATTAATTTTTATTCCTCTAAAATGGCAAGTTCTCAATCTAGTAATAGTCTTTTTAATTTCTCTGTTTGCATCAATCTCATATATCTGATGGTCTTTCTTAATAGATTTCTCTTTGAGCCTATATTTGGCAATGGCATTAGCATCTTCAAGAGTGACGGGGATTGAGTTGTTGAGATTTCTTTTGCCTTTTAAGCCAGTTCATCGGCTGCCTCATTTCAATCAATTTTAACATGTGCAGGTATCCATTGCATAGTGCATGTCTTTTCCATCTTGTTGATTGTTTCTAGGTGTTGGTGTATATCCTGGGTGAGTCTTGAATGTCATTTCAGTACTGTCTCTAAAGCAGCTTTAGAATCACAGTAAATTATAAGTCCTCTGTCTTTTTTAGAGTAACAGTAAATTACAATCCCTCTGTCTTTATCATTTAAGTCTATGTAAATTCTCAGGGCTTTCTGAATTGCTCCAGGAGGCCCTGAGACCTTGAAGCAATGGTATTTAAAGGAACAGTAAACATTGTGTCTTTGGATGAGGCCTCTACCCCTTCTTTCATAAATCTTCTACTTTTTGATAGAAAATTAATGTGCAATATACATATGCTAATGTCAAATGTACTTAATTTTATATTTTGATAATAAATTAATTCAGGTCTTTATCTTCTATTAGGCTCATTGTCTTCTATTAGGCGAAAACAGCAAAGATCTGGTGAAGATTATTAATAACGCTTTTAAGTTTGTTACAGAAAGGAAATTTTGTTTTACTTACCATTATATATATATTAAAAAAAAACCCCTTCAGTTTTTTTCCTTTTCTTTTCTTCTTTTGTTATTGGTGCTGTGCTACAAATCTTTTATTCATCTTCATGATAAAAGTGTGTAACTCTGCATATATAAGTTAATCATTTAGAAAGTAATTGTACCTAAACTTCTTAGCACTATTTTGTCACAGTTGTTATTCTATATCATGCACATTCTGAAATAGGTTCCTACTATCTTATAACTTGTCAATTGCAAAATTTCATAATACGTATTATGTATGCTATTGTCTGCATCTGGAATGGAATCGAATTGTTGCAATGAATTTTTTAAGGTTTCAAGCTTCTATATATGTTCATGTTTTTAATGTATTTAAATGGTAACATACATTTTTAATATTTTTATACTTTTCTGTTTGTAATCTTTTACATTCAAGAAAGAAATGCAAAAACAATCAAAATTTTTTTGAACTCAAATTAACAAAAACGATTTATTTTCTTATTTGATGGCAGTAGATTTTATTTATGGAGAAATAAAATGTTTGCATAATTTTTCATATTGTTTTATATTTTTAAATATTATTAGTAAGAATTCTTTTTCAGGGCGTTAAACTATAATCTGAAAGTTTCAGCTTGCAATTTCTTCTTAAAATTTTTTTGTCAAGAATAATTTTAGTATTAGTTTTTTATTAATCACACATGAAAAATTTATTAATCACATGTTAAAAATATAGTGGAAAAAAGAATTGAGATAACTAAAAATAGAAGATAAAAGCTTTTTAAAACTGTGTTGAAGTCTTTTTTTTTTTTTTAATTGGAAAGATGAATATAATGATGACAAAATTTCTTTGAAATATTTAAAATGGAAATTTTCCTGAAGTTCATCTAATTTAATATTTTTTGCAGTTGGATGCCAGATGAGAAAGCTGCTTCATGTCTAAACTGTGGTGTAAAATTTTCGCAATTAAAAAGAAAACATCACTGTAGAAATTGTGGAAAAATATTTTGCTCAAAGTGCTGTTTTGAAAAGGTGTGTTTTGTAAACTAGATTAAAATTAGGATCTTGAATTATACTTGAGTTCATAAATATCATCATTTTCATGTATTATATTATGTGCATTTTCATTCTGAAAATTGGACATTTTGATATTTATATGCTAATTTGGTTTACTCTTAATGAGTAATAATAAAAGTAGCATCTCTTTTTCAAAGCTAAGTTTTCATTATATGTAATGGTGTATTTATTTATTCAATCAATATTGCATATTTGAGTAAGTTATAAAATGTACTGAAATGAAAAAGTAAATTATTTAATGACAAAAATAGCATAGCTCTTTTTATTTTCAGGTAAAATATAAAATATCTCTTGAATCTTTATTTTATCTTTAATATTTTCATAACTTGTGTAAAATTTTTAGTATTTCATGGCATGAATTATTTTATTTTGCACGAGTTATGAAAATATTAAAGATTGCTTTGTTGACTCATCATTCCATAACACAGAATTTTAATATTTTCATACTTGTGCAAATCTTTAATATTTTCATAACTCGTTTAAAATGTTATACAGTTGCAACTTAAGACAAGAAAAGAGATATTAAATAATTATACATTAAAAAATATAGTTTCTTTCTGATTAACCATATCTCCTGAAAAGTATTCCTGAGGCAATGCACTATGTTGCTAAAATAGTCAACCCATGGTGTCACCAAAATGTATTGATGTGGCAGCCTAAGTATGCACACGCGTGCAGCAGATGAGAGCTATTTGCCTTCAAATTCAACTTTCTCGCAAGGAATCATAATGAAACTGCAGAGTTTGCTAGGTGATGAAAAGACAGCATTGCATTTGTTCAGAAAAAAGGTGTTTTTCTGAATCAATAATAGACAAGGCAAAAATTCACATTTCTCAAAAAATTAAATTTTATAGACTGAAATCTATGCATGATGCCAAATTTGTGCAATTATGTGATGTTTTTTAAAGTTAAAATAATTTCATATGTGTATGGGGAAGATCGACAGTGTGTGCAGTGCCAAGTTATTGGTAACTGCTGAGTTCATTCAATTCTCTGATATTTTCTGAAGTTAAAAGAGATCGTTGTGTACATATGAAGAATAGAGAGAAAGAAAAAAGGTAAAGGTTTACTGTAGTTGTTTCTTGAGTTTTGAGTTCTTTTAATTGGTTGCAGTTTTATGCAATTATTAGTGCAGCACCATTTTTGTATGTGGGACATATTATAATATCTTGTTTTGCACCTTTTTTTTTAATTGAAATCAACAGAATCAAACATACATATCTGATTGTAACGAAAGTTTTCCACCAAAAAACATTCTTAATAAAGTTAGAACGAAAAAAACATGAATGCAGTACCTTTAGTGCAGGTAGTAATCGTCACCCAAATCTATGATTTTCTGCCAATGTTTTGGTAGTTTTTCATAGCCTTCGGCCCAGAAAGTCGGTAGGTGTGAGTCCAAAAGCAGATCAAATCTCATTTCATGCATCTTGCGTAGAATTAAAAATAAAATAGAACCAGCAAGATGTAGCTGCAGGTGTGTAAAAAGGTAGAAGTCTGAAGGAGCATGTTGAGGCTAAATGGTGGGTGTGGCAAAAGATCCCATTCGAGTCCGTACAGAGTCCAATCAGTAAATTAAGACTCATGTGGTCTTGAATTATCTTGGGGGGAACATTACCTTTTTGTGCCAGAACTCAGTTTGACGTTTTTCTTTGATAGCAGCATCAACATGGACTAGCATCTCACTGTACACCTTACTGTCGAAGGTTTACCTTTTTCTAGATATTCTTTGTAGATAACACAATGGCAATCCCACCAGATATGAAGAATTATTTTTTGGTTAGTCAAATTGCACTTTGCAATGCTAACGTTAAGTAAAAGGCACTGACTATCTGAATTAATTGTAATTAAATGTAAAAAGTTCCTAAGTTTTCTTTTTTTAAAATTTTTTTTTTTAAGAACTGTAAATAAGTAGATTAAGTATAGTTTATTTGCAATAATATATTTCCATATAGCACTGTTGTAATGTTAAGTTTTCAAGATATTTATGCTGTAGTTCTCAAAACAATTATCACTCATTTTTCAGTAATTGTGAAAAAAGTTTTAATTTTATATGTGTAGTAACCAATGTTCTTGTGATATTTATTATAGATATGTATAACAGATGTGTAGAAGCTGAATACTGCATTACTTGGATTATTAATATGTAGTGATATTCCATTATCCAGAGTTTCTCAAACTATAGTAGACATTACATTATTTTTGGTGGTAAAGTTTTTATGCAAAAATTTGAATGAATGTTCAAAATAGATGCAAAATAGCATTCTTTTTGTACATGCACTGGTGCATATATTTTTTCATTTCTTATCTGTGTGGTACAAAATGAAAAATGTTTGAGAATCTCTGCTGTAATCCATTGTATACAAAAGTATAAAAACAAGTTCATAAAAATCAGTAGGCAACAGCATAAAAGAAAACATTGATTTTGAGCTTGTCCTATCTTCTTACAATGTTTGTAACATTGCGTTTAAATAAGGTGAAGTTCTACTGTATAAGACGTAAATATACTTTATCTTTTAAAGTATTCAGTATTTGTAGATTCTTGTCTGTATATTAATAAACAAAAAATGGAACACAAATTCTAATGTAAATTGTTAAAATTTTTAGAGAGCTTAGTAACAAATTTGCTCTTTAATTTTTCATCTACACTTGAAATGCTCATTTTCAAAATGAGATGGTACAATATGTCATGAACTTCCGCAATAAATCTATAAACAGCTACTGCTGGTGGTTACCCAGAACGTCCAAGGATGATACGAAATCTCAGAATATTTAACTTTCAATACCTAACTACTCTTGAGATGCAGTAAAGTTCATTTTCATTATGAAAATATTTTGCATTTATGTTTTTATATATGTGTGAAATGCATTTTGTATAATTAAGATTTGAAATGTATTTTGTATAGTTGTATCTTTTTCTATTTTCTGCACTGTTTCCTTATGAATTCATAATTATTAATACAAATATATAAAATTGTTCAGTGAACATCAAATGGTATCCACTTGCAGTGGAGGCCTTGCTTTCATCCCTTCTGGGTGGTTCTAAAAAAATTATAGGAAGTACGACTTGATGACTCTGGTGAAGAACTGAAATTGTTCACTAGAAGATGTTCTTCGCTAGAAATATTCCTGCATAAATTAGTATTGAGAAATTTCTTTTTTATAATTCTGCATAATTCAGTTCTAAATAAGAATTCAGGTAATAATAACATCCATTTAATAGCTGGTCTGTTGAGAAATATTAGAGATCTCTCCTTCTGGCAGAACTCCAGATTTTTCAACATCTGCATCTAGAATCTGGATGCCTTGTTCATCATCTAATTTTGGTACTTATTACAAGTTTAGATATTATCACTGTGGAATATGTGCCTTCTTAGAAATAGTGACCTATCTGTTGATGATAACTTAACAATTTGTTGTGGTTTATCTCTTCTATCATGTTACTGAGGGAAGCATTTTCAGGCTTTTGATATTTAGCTTCCACTTTGGGACAAGACATTTTTTCGTTTTTATATCCATTAACTCAAAACTGTATGTTCAAATATCTGATGGTTATACAGTTTTGGCAGTAGCTGAGTTTTTATCCTAATTAGCCATATTTTCATCTCAGACAGAAACTAATTGTCAGAAAAAAAAATGGTTTCTGGATGCCTGTTCCATAACTGAGCCAGATTTTTTGTTGCTTAGTGGTTTATTTCATAGCAGCATCATGTGTTAACATCAAGCTTTGAAGAGTATAAGGCTGGGAGCTGAAAAAACTCGAATCTTCATACATCATTTTTTTGGTGTAGTGTATCAAATTCTATGGATCTCCAAATGGCATAAAATGACACTTCATAGAGACTTCTTCACCTTTGGATGCCTTTAAATAAATATATTGTAAGAAAATAAAATATGTATTGTAGCATATGCAATATCACCAAATGAAACAAAATGTTAAATTTTCAAGATTTTTTCCGTGCTGTTATCAAATCTAATCTCTTGCTGTATATCTAAATTCAGTAATGACAAGCAATTTACCTCATGCCTTACTCAGGGTCTCTACTAAGTGAAAGTTGTATCATTATATAATCGTTACATAATGTAAAGTGGTATCTGTTTCATTCATTTATTATGCACCATATCCTTCAAAGCCCTTATGTGGCCTTTGTTTTCGCAGTCATTGGCCAAGATCTTATGAGCAGAATCATATAGAATTCATGTTTTAGAAAACATTGGTAAACTTCAGCATGGGCATATAGCCAACTTGTAATATTATTTGCACTAATTAAAAATGGAAATATTTGTACTTAATTTTTTTAAATATGATTATCAGTTTTTTATTCTAAAATAATCAAACTTTATGAAAATATCATTAATGCATTTTTAGACTTTAAAAACTTATACTTTATTTGTTTGGAAATTCTTTTACCATACTAAATATATTAAAATGATAAATAAAAGACAATAATAAATAAAATAAAATGGAATGGCATTTAAAGGGTAGGAATGAACCTCAATTTGTTCTAATTTATTTGCTAACTGACCCCTCAATGTAACTTGGATATGATGTCAGAAGTTATAGATTTTGAAATTAAATATCTCAGTCAGTTTTTGTTGTACGGTATTTAAATCTTATATATATATATATATATATTTATAATAATTACAAAATTTTCCTAAATGTAAGTAGAAGGGCAAGATGAGTGTATAAAAAGGGAGATTTCATATTTATAAGCTTGATTTTTCATATTTAAAAATGCCCACACATGAATTTTTTGAATTTAAAACATTTTTGTAATTGGAAAGTATATGTCTGTGACTAATGGCTATGAAAATAAAGGCCAGGTAAGGACTTTTTAGGTACAGAGTATATGGTTGAAGTAATAACTACCGTAAAAGTTATTTAATAATCACTACAAAAATAATTTTTTAGTAAACTGTGGCACAAATAAAAAAATAATTTTGTTTTTTTTCCTATGTTGTTTATTTTCCACTTCATACAGAGTTGTTTGAAAATAGGATAATTTTATCTATATTTTGCTTAGATGTGCCTACCTCATTTTGGTTTGAAGGATCCAGAAAAAGTGTGTAATAACTGCAAATTGATAGTAGAATTAATGATGAAGTCTAAATCTGATAATATGGTAAGTTGTCAGATATTTGTCTGTTGTTATTTCATGGCTATGGTCCATTTAATAATTTTATAACTGTCCTTAGTACTGTGTAACATAAATGCCAAATATTTCTTTTTTATAAGTGTTTTTAATTAAAAGAAGCAGACAGTACTTTCTGCTTGTGCTCTGTTATTTTCCAAATGCTAAAAATTTTCATCTCTCTAAACTCCATTATAATTTTTTAAAGATCAACTAAATGCCATGTTATTGGCACATTTCTTTCCTTTGTATATATTTTTCCTTTAAATTTTTGAACCAAGCCTTAGATATTTTAAATTGCTTATACAGTACAAAGTCCGTAATCCTAACTCGTCGGGACTTCGTCGATTCCGGATTATGGATCGTCAATTTAAATCTGGTAAGATGGCATGCAGAAATTATAAAATTAAAAATATGAAACCGTAATTTATGAAATAAAGAACAATTATGATCTAAAAGGTATCAATATTTACAAAAAAAAGCTTAATATTTCTTTGTTTACTTAATTAAACATTTCTTTCAATGTAAGTTGTTTAAGTTGCTTCATTTATTGTGCTAATACTTTCTCTTTAATTCTCTCTTCTGTAAACAGTCTCTCTTCTCTTTATGCACATGCGTAAATGCATTACGAGTTTACGCATGCGCATAAAGTTTGTAGCTTTTAGGTCCGGATTATAGACATCCGGATTAAAGACTTTGTACTGTATAAATTTTAACTTCTCATAATTCAAGAAATGAACTCACCATAAAGATGATGCCTTCATAATAGTATTGGCTTCTTTATAATGGTTGCTGGGGTACAGCTATGAGTACTAGCTTTATTTTGCTTTTCTAATTGCAGTAGTTGTGCAGATGGACTGTTTTTGTGTAATGATGGCAAAAAAGTGAAAGATTGCTCTTTTTCTGTAACATTGCTGACTCTAATGTATGCTGCTTGCAAATGAATCACACTGGTATTACATTTTATTCTACTCCAAATAAATGTGAAATAGCAATATATTAGCATTGCATAGCTGCTGCCAATTCTTCCAGTTTTTAATTTTTAGCCATTTCTAAAGAAAAGCACTAAGAAAAATGTTCTCCATCTGTAAATGAAATTTATTGAATTAATGACACTTAAAGCTTGCTAATTCCATTAACCCGCTCTAATGGTTTTGAGCATAATTTTTCTTATTGTTATTTGATCTAAATTAATTTTATTTTCATTTGTAGAACATTTTAAAATTTAACCAGTGTTTAATTAGTTAATATTTGTATTTAACTTTGTTTACATTAATCAATAGAAGATTATTGTGCTTATGCAGACAGTGGTATGCATGTTAATTTAATTTCATTTTAATTTAAAAGTACTTGATAAATAAAAGCTTTTCTTCTGTAGTCAGGATTTTCTAGTATGAGGTAAGTGCAAAATGAAATTAGCCATTTAACCAAATATTAATGTATATAAATATCAATATATTTAAAATCAGAATAATATTACAGTACAAAGTCAGTAATCCGGACGCCCATTATCTGGAATGATCTATAATCCAGACCTCAAAGCCTCAAACTTTTTCTTGTATGCTTTACGCATGCGCGTTTAATGTATAAGAGACGGTATACATTAAACGCTAGGCTAAAATTATCTTTACTGATTCTAAGGCATTTCAGTTAATGTTGCAAATTGCACTGTTCCTTAATCTTCTAATTATTTCTGGCTTATTATTTTTTGCAGACTGTTAAAGCAATTTTATAAAAATTAAGCTTGAACTTTCGTTTTTGTCAAAAAGAGTTTCCGATTCTGGAGCTGCCAAAGGATCTACAAAGCGAAAGCATGTTTCGATGTCCATCAAACAAATTGCTGCAAAAAATGGATAAAGGCATGAAGAAAGTGATAGAGAGGTTAGTGAAAACGAAAAAAATTTGATTGACAAGGTAGTCGGTATTCTCGGCACAGCAATTACAGGACTTGAACAGTGGAACTTTGTAACTGAACAAGAAATAATGTCTGTTTATAGAATTAAAGAGAAAGTATTAGCACAAAAAACGAAGCAACTTAAACAACTTACATTGAAATGTTTAATAAAGTGAACAAATAAATATTAAGCGTTATTTTGTAAAATTTGATACCCTTTAGATAATAATTGCTCTTTATTTCATAAATTACAGTTTCATATTTTTAATTGTATAATTTCTGCATGCCTTCTTACCAGATTTAAATTGATGATCTATAATCCGGAAAACCCCTAATCCGGATTACGGACTTTGTACTCTATAAGTAATTCAGTAACCTCAGTCATGCTTTATAAAGTGATTGTAAGTGAGTTCAGAGTTCTTTTGAAATGGCAACACTGGGTATCATGAATACCTCTCAGAAACTCTTGGTTTTCCATATTTCAAGGTTGGCACCTGTGACATTAGTATTTCTATAAAAATTCTTGAATAACATATCAAGAAACGTAAACTGAAATGTTATTCTATTTGCATTTTTACAGAGAACATAAAGCTTGGAAATAAAAATAATAATGTTAAAGACATTAATAGCAACTGAGTTTTTTAAAATAAATAATATTGTTATGCTATTTCTTCCTTCTGACACCAGTTGTTACGTTATTTTCTTCCTACATGTTCGTACGGGGTTCATAGATTTGGAATGAATAACGACGACACTTGATAAAATACTAATTCAGAAGTCAAACAACAAAAATCAGCATTATATTTTCAAAATTTTCACATCACTAGTTTCAATGGTTTTACCGAACCACTATCCTCAGCTGCAAAACTGCAAATGAACAAGATAGAAAATAATGATTAGATAAGATAAGAAAGCCTGGACAAGAATAAGCAAGTGGTGCCATACTTGATGAAGTATCGAAACACACTTTATTTAGCCATTATTAATCAGGACAGCTCCAATAACACTTTTTACAGTCGTCGAAGATCTACTCTAAACACGCTGGAACAATCAATGACACAGCCTTCACACTGTCAGGCAATAACGGTGGAGACAGCTTCACTGCAAAGCACCAGAGTACAGCTCCCGACTCTGCTCGGTCTTTCTCGGAACTCAATGTACTTTCGAGACTCTCCTTGATGTTTTCAAACATCACGTAAAGGCGAGCACTAACGAGATCGTTTACAGACAACTCTTCGCTGAGCACAGGCACAGATATAACAGTTATTATCCGATATACACAGATGGATCAAAGTCAAATGATCATGTCAGGATGGCTTTTGTATTTGAAGATTACATTGAGGACAGATGCCTGCACCATGCTTTCTCAGTTCTAACATCTGAACTAACTGCAATATATTATGGTCTTCTGTACATCTCAAAGCTCTGCCACAAAAAGTTCATAGTTATACAGACTCGTATAGTGCTCTTAAATCCTTGGAAGCTTTTCCCAATACTCAGAATCCTGTGGTAGTGGATTTTCTCAAAATTCATATAAATTTAACGATTCGAGGATATGAAGTCCTGTACTGCTGGGTTCCTGGACATGCTGGAATAAAGGGAAATGAGCTTGCAGACATCGCAGCCAAATATGCTGTTGAACCATCCAGTCGCCTTATCCCTTTTAGAGACATCTGCTGTGTTATCAAGCGGAAGATACGGAAAAAATGGCAGCAAATTTGGCATGTTCAGCATCACAACAAGTTGAGAAACGTCAAACCTAGAATTGAGCATTGGGATTTTGCTGGAAATCGTAAGGAGGACGTTCTTTTGACTCGCCTCAGAATTGGTCACACTAGAGTCACACATAACTATCTTCTCAAAGCTGAAAATGAGCCTGTTTGTTTTAATTGTAATGTTTGTTTATCTGTTCGTCATATTTTAATTGAGTGTCCATGTTTTAATAGTCTTCGCCAGAAATATTTTAATAGCTGTGACTTACCTCTCGACCGTTTAATCGGAAGAGAGGTCAATTGTAATTTACTTTATTATTTAAAAGAGACTGGCTTTTATTACCAAATGTAATTTGTTTTGAAGACTGCGTCTTGAATTTTACTGTTTGTATTTACTGAATTTTAATGTCATCAATCGTAATCATCCCATCTTGTGTTTGGCGCGTTATAATCATCTTTGGTTTTTGCGCCATAATCACTCACTCACTCGAGACTCTCCATGCTACAACACGCGATGCACTCGACGACACACAGATCAGGGCTCCCGACTCTTCAGTTCAGTCGTTCCTGGAGCTCAACACACTCTCTTGACGATGCACTAACTGCGATACACTAAGAGACTCCTTCGGTGCACTCAACAACCCACTCGGCACTCGCTGCCCGGCTGTCAACTTGATCAACTCTGCACGGACTGACTCGCTAGACGAGACACACATTCGATGCGAGACACACACACTAACTGACTGCAAACCAGCAGGGTTTATATAGCTTTCGGTTGGTGTTTGAGAACATTCTGGGCTAAACCTGTAATAATTCGTTCCAGAAGGTTGTCCATCCATCCATGGATGGAGAACCTTCCATCCATCCATGGATCCATGCATGGATCCAGCCATCCATCCATGCATGGAGAACCACACATCACAATTTTAAATAATACAAATTGAAGTTCTGAATGAATTTCAGTCTCTCTTTTGTCGGCAAATGGGCACTTTCTTGCGAAATGTGGCAACCCTGTCTTCCCTTGCCATTTCATGGCAACCCTAAACTGCTTTGCGGGGAAGCCATTTTGCCGCGCCTGTACATTTCATAACAATATCATTAAATGCATTCAGCTTCAAGTTTCAAAGAGTAAAATAAGTAAAAAGAAAGCAATAAGCAGGTAAAAACACTATGTGATTCTTTAATGTTGTATTCCCTTCAGATTAAAACATACATTGTTATACTGTTATATGTTATATATGTTGTTTTCAGACAAGGTATTATTTTTAATTAAGCATACTGGCTTCAAGAATAGCAGTCAAGCACCTGTCTGAAATTTTTAATCCTCAATCTGTATTTTATGAAAGCTTTTGGTAGTGGTATTACTTCCAAATGATTTTGTAATGCTATATGCCACATTAATCTTTAAATGAATTTTATAATGCAAATAATTCTTAGAAAAAAATAAATTATTGATTATGCTTTTCTTGTTAGGAAGAGGGGTACACATCTTTAAAGCTCCTAGATCAGCGATGGCGAACCTATGGCATGTGTGCCACAGCCGACACACAGCTAAAATATTACATCCTTAATCAATAATCACAATAAAATGATACTATGTAATTTAAATAAGTGTTTTTAGTCTGTTCTTGAATGTTTTACTTACATATCACATAATGCCACTGGCATAGGGCCTAAGTGTAGTTATAAAATTTTCATATGTCACCATTGAAATGATATAGTACATATTTATTGACCCAATTTATGACGTTTCAATTGTTTGAGCCAATCATATTACTTGTTACATGGCAAAGAATACGCCAAAGTTGAAGCAGCTAATGTTTGCTAAATGAATTCAAATTTATTGCAGACTCTAGGTAATTTTTAATACTTTCATTGTTAAATAGATTCCAATTTTCAGATATGAGCATCCTGAGATAACTTATAAATAATTTTAATTTAATGTCTTAAACGGCATATACAAATACAATGTAAAAACATGCAATTTGATAATATAGCAATACACGAAAGTTTAGTAGGGAAACCAAGCTTATTCACGTGCACTCAGCCAAAATAAGCCCAATAAAGCCAAAAAGGAGCATATGAAAAATAAAATTAGAAGTTTAGCAAACAGATGTCCGGATTAACGATTACTGCTGTCCCGTGTTCATATTTGAATCTGCAGCCATAGATTGTTGATTCGTGAAAATCCAATTCCTTACTATTGGCTAATAATGTTACCTCTTTTAAGTATATGATTGATTTATATTTAATGCTGCATTTTTAAATTTTTTTTTTTTTTTTTTCTTTCTATTTGCCATGTCTTGAACCCTCACAAATGACTCCAGTAAAAAGGGCAAAATTCAACATTGATAGTGGAAGATCATTTCAAGAGATCTGGACAGAATCATTTGGAGTTATTGTACACAATAGAAAAGAATTATGCATTCTGTAAGGGGAAAGTGTTGTGTGTCGCACATCTACTATCAGATGGCATTTTAACACCAACCACAAGATTGTTGACGAACTTGATAAAGCTGAATGGAAGGTTTTATTGAATGGAGGCTGAGGAATTATAATTACCAGAAAGCTAGTTTTTACAATTCTTTCTAAAACAAACCATGTAACAAAGCCCAGCTTTTTCAATTCACTGTGCCTGGCAAAACATGGTACACCACTCTCTGATGGGGCTTTAATCAAAGAGGTTTTGGGCACACAACCCCAAAAAGGTTCGCCAGCACTGTCCTAGATCCTATAAAATTCATAAATTTCCTTTTTTTTTAATTTATAAAGATCATATATAAGTTTTCTTTTAGATTTTAGAAAATGTTTGCCAATGAATATTTAATAATTCATAATATAAAGTATATTTTTTCTGGGAAACTCCTATTGTTCTAATTTTCTATTCCCTTTGGTTGATTGCCAGAATTCCAAAATTAATTAACTTATATATTATAATTTGAAATAAATTATATATATTATAATTTGAAATATGTGCAGATCAAAAGTATACAAAAAAGTGACTAATTTCAAAGATTTATTAAGTTATTGAAGATCCTGAGAATCTTCCTACACCAGATACCTGGAGTTTTCTAAATCCTCAAATATTTCTTGTTTGAAATATTTGAGGTTTGTTGGTTTTCAAAATAATTTTACAACTCTCTGAAAAACAGCTGTGTTCCATGTTTTAGTTTCTATTGTAGTCTAAATACCTAAAACTTTATAAAATTTACTTAAATCTAATTTGAAGAGTGAATATATAAAATCCTCTTTCTTTTGTTTTTAATACACAAATTTTAATAAAATTAAAATTTAAGATATCATGCTGAGGAAAAATAACCTGTTACTGGAAATATTCTGTTTGCAAAAGAATTCTAATTCCTTGTACTCTATTTTTTAATTTTATTTATCTCATTTAATTTTATATTTTTAATATTTTGTTGATTATTTTTATCATAAATATTTTTTTAAATATTAAAATTTAGATATGCAAGAATTAATCAGTTGCAAATTTGTAAGTTGATCTTAATGCTTATTATTACTGTATTCTTTGTTATGTACTTTTTTTACCTTCCAGGCAATGAAATATGAGGCTGTTGAGGGATTGTCAACACTGACCAAAAATGTGGCTGGCTTATGCAAGGTCTGGTCAAATATTTTTACCATATAAATTGTCTGCAGAAGTTAAAAGAATTGCAAAGAACTTTTAATTGTTATGGATGTATATGCATATGAGGTCTAACTAAAAATATCCAGGTTTTGGCATGGGGAAATAAAACATTTTATATATTATGTATAGACATCAGTAGCTTTTGTAGAAATTTTGAAACACATTTGATCATACATCAACAAATAAAATATTCTAGGTTGACATGCTAAAAACCATGTTTAAACATTATTAAGTTATTAACACTTGGCCATCTGCAAGAACTTCTAACTTACTAAGGTTTAAATGTGGTGTTTATCATATTAACCTAGGATATTTTATTTTAACTTCATTATTCAGAATAGTGAGAATGAGATATACAACTTATAACACATATTACTTTAATAGATTTGTTGTTTAGCTAGTTTGAAAAGCTGTATGGTTGGCAATTATGCCAAAGAACATCTACTATTCTTTGATTATGCTCTGGCTCAAATAAAATATCTACAAGACTTTTCTTCTAATTTGAGGAGAATAAACAAGATTGAATGATTTTTGGTTTGACCTTATATTCATATGATTCTGTTGGTGAATGTATCTGATTTATATTCAGAAAAGTTTGAGATCTTTTTGGCTGGATGAACTGAAATCAAATGTTTGGTATAAGTAATTAATTACATTACATATTGAGGATATGAGCATCTCTCAGTCTTGCTAAAATTTTAAAATTAGCTGCGAGTATGTAATATATGAGGTTAAGCAAAAATTATTTAAAAATCAGTAAGTGTCTCTGCAGTTATATTCTTAATATCTTTATTCATTTAAGAGACAATGACTTGTGAAGTTCATTTAAATGGATTGTTAATCCTTTAGTGGTAATCAAAAATCATCCATAATTACTGTCCTATTACACACAAGTATCCCATAACAGTTTCAATTGGAAATAGCACATGCTTTTCCTGCAGTTGGCCTGCATTATAGTAAAGCTGCTGAACAGACATTAATTTTTGAGAGGGCACTTTAGTGCTTGATTTCTTAAAAAAATATTTTTTCTTTCATATGTGCAACAGTATAAAATTGAATCAGCTTGGACTTAAAGGACGGTTAGTATTTTCTAAATTTTGTAAATTGCTGCTAAAATCATCTTTTTGGGTTGTTTCATCTTTTAAACTGAATAGATGTGTCAAATTTTTTATCATTTCCGAACTTGGTTATCTTAAAATCATTTTTTTAAATGAAAAAATTCTAAAAGTAAAGCATTGTTCATCTTAATTATAGAAAAGATGTTGTGACTGTGATGATACGTGTGTTTACTAAATAGTGAATTTTCTGCCATCTATCTATATTTGTATATATTGTTGGACTATTTTTAAGACTAAAATCAGCTTAACCATGTGCACTGGAGTAAAAATTTGCCTTGTGAGTAGAACTCATGTACACTGCTCAAAAAAAAAAAAAAAAAAAAAAAAAAAAAAAAAAAAAAATGGGACAGTGATATATCTCCCGTTCTACTGAGCCAATTGACAAAATTCAAACTGCGTTTTTCATGTCTCGAATGCGCGACTTAGGATATATATTATATATATATATAGCGCTACTCTAACATAGGTATTTTGACACAAAATCGGACTTTTTCTGAAATAACATACCAATTTTTTTCCATATTTCGATTCTACGACTCAAATTATACCAGAATACCAAGTTTTGTAAAAATCGTACGAGTAGTTTTTAAAATATAAGCTCTCAAAATTTTAGCTCCTCAATGTTAATTGGATTTCGCAAATATTTATTAATATCTCTTTTTTTATTAAACTTTTTTGATTTTTTCTCTCACATTTCGAAATTTAGGTTCATTCCAAATAAAATTTACCCATTTTTTGTGTTTTATTTTTTAAATTTCTATTTTTATAAATTTCTCGAAAAACATTTTGAATTATAACCTATAAAATTTTCACCATCATCTTAAAGTAGGTGTATTTTAAGCATATCTGCAAAAAATTAGACTTTTTTATTCAAAATTTTCTAAGATATACACGAATTTACGAATTTTCGACTTTTGAAATTTTCGCATCTTTTTTTTTTTTTTTTTTTTTTTTTTTGAGCGATAATAACGCCAAATGTGGTCTATGGATCTTTGTCACAGTGAATTGCCACAACTATTTTAACCTTAAATTTCAAGTAAAATTTTACGAAGAATTAATTATATAACATTTTTTTCCCTCAATGATACGTTATAAATATTTATTAATAATATATGAAAAGCTATTTTTTTAAATTATAGATGATATTATTCAAATTTTTAACTATTTTTTTTAAATTTCTCTCTATGTTTAAAAAAAAAAAATAAGAGTAAATTTTTGTAAGAGTAAATTTTTACCTTCGGCATTTTATCGTCTGCTACCTCACTTCGTTTAAATCAAATTGTCTAAAACTGAGAATTTTCGTTTGATGTTTATTTGAATTTTATGACGTTAATTGCATAACTTATTTCTAAACAAACTGTTGCTTTTGAAGTGGCTGAAAGAGCGGCTGATACTAGCATCCATATTTTTAAAGCACAGTATATTTTTATAAAAACATAAGATTTAGAATAATCATTTTTATAAAAGTCAAATTATGATATAAACATGCAACCCTCTAGAGACTCAATTAATGGAAGTTCAATGGCTATGCAGAAATGATCTGCAGCTACTTAATGGCTGGATAAGTCAGCAGATGCTGTGGACAAGTAAGAATAATTATATAAACGACACCCAACATTCTGGATTATGAGGATACGATGTTTATTAAATGAATTTAAGAAGTTTTAAAACATAAAAAATCAACTCATTTTTTTTATCCTAAAATGTATTTTTGTGCCTAGCGTATTTTCATTACATCCTTAAAATTCTAATTTAGAATGTAATTGTCAAGAACTGAATCCTAATCATCAGTAATATAATATATAATTATTACGGTTATTAATAAATCCTTCTTATAAAGTAATTGTAAATATTTCAAAAATCTTTCTGTCTGAATGCAAATATTTTTCTGTTCAAATATTTTTAATTTTATATTAATCAAGATTGCACACGATATTATTTATTTGCATTTCAATTCTTACCATCAGTTCTAGTAGAAGTTACAAATCAATTATATTTAATTAAGGATTGGATTGGATTATTTAATTATGGCAAAGCACACGAGGGCTATCTGCCTAAAGGGAGGGATGCCTTCGTGGAGGACTTTCTAAGGGAAACTGGCTCGTATACACGTTACACATCGGGAAAACCATGGAAACACCCATGCAACTAGCCCGTTCGCGGGATTCGAACCTCGGACCGAACTACCAGTGATCAGCGTCTTTACCGCTCGGCCGTTTGTGGGCCTTTATGAAATGGAAGGCGATAACTTTATTTAAAATGATTGTCAAAAATACCAAAATGTTTCGAAAAGTTGGATACTTTTTAATATACTTTCAGAATGCTTAAAGAAAAAGAGAAGAAAAATAAATTTTTTCTTAAAATTTAGTATTTGTATTTTTTTTAATTTAAAACTTTTCAATGTTATGATATTTGATTCTTGCGATTTCAAAAATAAAATATTTGACTAAAATATGAATAACATTTTAAGAAACAAATGTGCGATAAAATTGTGTAAAGCAATGGGCACAATGATAAAAAACTATTTAAGCAGTGTATGCAAGTCATCCTAAGTTAAAATGTCGGTTATACAATCTCTCTTATTTATATATATCTTTTCTGAACGGAACATTGAAAGGCATGTAAAAACTGTGCTTTGCTGTATTTTCTCTTTTAATATAGTAATGCAGTTTTCAAACTCATCGTAGTCTGGGTTACAAAGTATTCTTCCGAAAGAAACGCAGTTCAAATAAATAAAATCAAATTCTGGAAAATTGACATTAATAAATATATTTAAAATGCTCAGTTCGAAGGAATAAATAGAAAATTTTAAAACAATTATCTGAAGAGACAATGCAACACAAACAATTAAAAGTATAAAAATTTAAAAATTACCTAAAATAATAACTATGACGAAAAATATATATAAAGAAAGCTATTTGAAAAAAAAATAAACGCTGCACCTTTATTTACGCAGTTCGAATAGGTAAATAAAAATTTTTAAAACAGTTATTTGAAAAAAAAAACATGCGACTTAAACAATTAAAAATGAAATTCGAAAAAGAAAAATTACTTAAAATAATAAGTTATAATTAAAAATATAATATAAAAATATTATTTGGAAAAAGGAGGAACGATGGTGACTTTTTTTCCTCTCACCGGAAAGGAAAACTAGGTTGCCATATATTAAGAGTTCGCCAAGTGAAGTATTCTTGGCGCAAACTGACAAAAAGTGCCAACATAAATTTGTGAATTTCTCCGTAAATTTCACTCCAAATTTTACAAAATTTCATATTTAGGCGTAATTTGAGTCGTAGAATCGAAATATGTAAAAAAATTGGTATGTTATTTCAGAAAAAGTCCGATTTTGTGTCAAAATACCTATGTCAGAATAGTGCTATATATAAATCTAATATATATCCTAAGTCGCGCTTTCGCGACATGAAGAACGCAATTTGAATTTTGTGAATCGGCCCAGTAGATCGGGAGATATAGGACTGTCCCATTTTTTTTTTGAGCAGTGTACATCCCATCAGGCTAAAATCTTTTCATGATTCTAAAATCTTGTTCATGATCACCAAATGGTTAATGGATTGGTGGTTTGAAATACATTCAGCATGGAACTGACAGCCCAAGAATCAGTTAAGATAATTCTTTATGAGTGGTAGCAGAAACCTCCATTTGCTGATGAAATGGATAAATATACTGCAATCTGTATTCACTGAATAGTGAGTATAATGCAATTTGTGTTCATTAAATATGTTTCCAATAGCATTTAACACTTGTTCATATGTGCTGTGTTAAAAAAAAAAAAAAAAAAAGACTGTAGTGTATGTGTTAGCATCACAGTAGACATCACTAATCTGCAACAAACAA